TTTTTTTTTTTTTTTGCCAAAACGATAGGCTGTTTTGTTTTCTTAATGATTAATTTTTAAAATATATTATAATTATATAACTTATTATTTTAATATTATATACACATATAACTTATAATACTTATACTTATATTTATGCATTTACATATGATCAATTACATAGTTTTTTCATAATAATCTCTATTTCATTTTAGTTTTGCTTGGACATAAGCGTATATTGTAGTATAGGCCCAATCGGTGGTCTTTTACCATGTATGAGACTTACCTAAACAGTATAGAGCAATTTTGGCCTTCTTAATTGAACGTCTAAAATTAAGAACTTCATTTAGAGATTTGACCGGTCAAATTCAATTATTATCTTATTTGATAACTAGTGCATATCTCGTGCGATGTACGGATATATAAATCTGGAGAATATTGTAATTTGACATGCATTAGGATATATGAGAGTTTAATACATACGAATATTATTCATCATAAAATGTTCGTCACTAAAAAATATTATATTAATAAAAACATCTTTGTACACAACTTTATTAGTTTGATTATTGGGTAACTCGTTGTGAGGAGCATGGGCCAACTCAGGCCAGACGCGGGCTGCACAAAGGACTGCGGAAACTGGGCCTCACTCAACGGGGCTCCCTTGCTAGGCATCTCTCGTGGTCGGCGGATGTTGATTGTTGTCGCCAAAAATATTGTCCCCATGCTTGGACAACTTTTCTAATTTCCAACTATATTATAAATTATATTTTATTGAAAGTTTAACTTTTTTTATTCCTATTTGATCGGTTTTCCTATGAATCCAACAGTTGGCCCCATAGTGGAGCCAACCTTCTATATACAGCAAGTAAACCATACCATATTAATAAGATTATTTGTGTTGTTTAAGTAATCAGAGAATATGGTAGGTTTACTTGTTGTATATAGAAGGTTGGCTCCACTATGGAGCCAATTGTTGGCTTCATAGCAAAATCGCCTATTTTATGTATTATTTTACATTTCCAGCTATACTAATAAAGTATATTTTTAGTTTGAATCATGTAACTTCCTTAATAGTGAGTTCAATAATTTATACATAGAAACATAATTTAACGATTCCATCTAATTTATCTCCCTTCTCCTTTTCATATTCCATATTTCACAATTTTCTCCAAATAAAATAAAAAATACATACAACAATTATTAGGTTGACCATCAAATAAATCATAAATAAGACTGTATATAAGCGTAACCTTTTTCTTAATAATTTCTATTTTTTTAAAAAATAATAATTGCAATGTTTCAGGTTCGGCAAAAAATTGGTTTGTTTGTTTTTTATTACTTGTTTATGAATAGACTATCTATCTTAATTTTTGTTCAAAGTTGGTGTATTTTTTATTTTTATCATCAGTTATATCATGTTAGTCATCATTGGACATAAGTTCATAGGATGTGCTGATAAATATGCATTTAGATTTTAATATATGCAATATAAATGTAAAAATACAGAGAATATGCTGAAGCTAAATTTAGTTTACTGGACATGTGCATGACAATTAGAAAAATGTGATTTCTTAATTTAATATTGAGGATAAATGCATTGCTAAATCGTAGTTCGCTTTAATATATCATTCGAGATTTCAGTGCCGATAATTTGTATTGTTTCAGCTTCACATTCATCTTATTGGTAGGGAAAGAGCCATCTTTGGCGCTTAAATTAATGGAAACAAATTAAAGACAATTTAATGACATATACTTATAGGGAGATTGATGCATATGTGTAATAAAATATCACCAACATTACAAAATTGATATTTGGAAAACCTGAAGACGTATATGGAAAACAACGATAATATGACAACATATGTGTACGTCTGGGCTTCCTCGTGCTGGGCTTCTCTTCTGGGCTGCTTCCACGCTGGGAAGCGAACTGAGGACGGGTGCACGCCTGCTGGCCTGAACTCGGTTGATCTGCGATTAGTCGTTGGAGCAGAGGTTGGGAACAGCGAAGCCAGTGGCCGTTTTGACACAACTCCTCAGCAACGGGGATTCAAAACTCAACATAATTTACGAATAATATAAATTTTCAGAGGCTCAGAAATTTGCAAAAAAAAAAGGGATTTGGCTCGAAAAATGAAACAACTCAAGGCACAAATAAAGTCGGATTTCCAAAATAAGTTCAGTGCCCCTAATTTCAAACGACGAACTCGACATGGTAAAAAAGCTCGAATTTTTTATTCGGCTTGAAACATAGAATAAAGGATCGAGTATGTGATAAGAATTCATAATATTATTGTTTCTAAGTGATAAGAATGTCAAATTTTGTTACATTTAAGCGTATATATTCCATATTTGCTACCAAATCTTTGTCATGTACCCGGTTATGGAGTGGGCCGATTTCATGGTATAGATATTTTATATTTTGGTATCGGGTCTTTTATGGTGGACTCATTTTATTATGTTTAGTTTTGGGCCTCTATATATTAAATAGCCCATTATGTGAGTTAAGTGGTGAGTTGTGTGAGTGACATGTGAATGAGTATAAAATGCATGTAGGAAAAGTGATTTGCATTATGGAATGAATTAACAACTTTCACTTTCTCTCACTTATTTCTCTCTCCTCCCAAACTCTCTCTCACTCTCTCCCATTTCACACGTTTTTCTCCCTCTCTTACTATCCCAATATTTCTCTTGTCATTTTTAGTACATCTTCAAGTTTTTCATACAAATACCCAGAAAAAAAAATACAAAAATTACAAAATTATCTCAGTTCATAACAATCTTTTACAAAAAATCTGATACGAATTATTGTAAAATAAATCTAGTACAATTTTAACTAAAATCGGGTATGTGTATGTGGCTAGATGGTTATATTATCATTTGTTTTCAAAATATTTCTTTTATTAATAAGTCAAAATCTGTATGCGTATATGGTGATATCATATGGATTTATGATACGACTTTAATTTTATTAGGAGAAGTTATTTGTATACATATTCTATTTACGGTCAACAACTTGGTTTTGATTAAAAAAAAAATAGAAGCAATAACAAATTAAGAAGGATTACAAACTATATGTAGAATAAATGAATCAAAATATGTGCAAGTTTGAACCTTAACAATGTAGATAACAAAAGGGGGAAAAAGTAGATTAATTCGATAATTACAGTATATATTGCTAATTTTCAAAAGATTGCATATAAATTTACTTATATATGTATATATATATACTAACATTTGACCAATATCAAACTAAATTTGGCACGAAATTCAAACAAACCATTAATTATATTCCATATGCAACAATATTAGTTTATTTTGTATATTAATTTTTTTAAATTAATATTAGACATATTAAAATAAATAATGACAATAAAATAGAAATAAATAAATAAATACTTTCAACTATTATGACATTAAATTATAGTAAAAAATAGATAAGAAAACTGACATTCCAATCCATATTGAAATGTATTTCCTATTCGACCATAGACTATTTTATCGCCGATAGAATGAATGAAGGATATATCGTTTTTCGAAATCAAGCTCTTCTAAAGGAAATGCTCCTGTTTAAGAAGTCTTTTGCGGGGATTAAACACAAATGGTATTTTACAATATAATTGAAGGAAAATAAAAAATGAATTCATTGTTGTGGGGATAAATTAAATATGAATAGTATTTGGAAACTACATTTATGGCGAATTTGACGGAATTGAGGTCAATTTGAATTGAAAAACTGGATTATTAAGTGAAAATCACAACATAAAACTGATTTAAATTTTAATTTTTCTAAATAATTGGATGTTGTTTCACATTAAACATAAACAATTAATTGATGATACAAAAAAAAAGAAAAAGAAAAAAGAAAAAAGATACGAATTGGAAGGAGTTGCAATTAATTCTAAATTGATTTGGATATATTTTTCCTACATAATAGGAGATTTAGTTGTTGTATACTATCTAAATAAATATCTTATCCAAAATTTGAATTTCTTATAGGAGATAGGATTTTTTTTTAAAGTTGCCATTAAAGGAAAGCATTAAATGCAGACCAAGTATTGACCAAAATTGACCTGCCATTTTTGAAAAATGTTAAATCTTTTTATATATATATATAGATATGTCTATTTTATTAGCTTTTGTAGCCAAAAAGGACAATTATGAAAAAGCTCAATATAAAAATGATTCTAAACATAAAATTTTTATAGTAACATACATTTAACAAATAATTATTTACAACCAACTAATATAATTTGCTAATCAATATAACCATGATAATATGTTATCAGTTATCCTTTAATACAATCAGTTTCATGCTTCAATAGCCAAACAAAGTCTTGTACTTAGATTTTAATGGTAAATTAAAGTTCACTACATACCAAACCATCTACAAAGTCTATTCAAACAATAATTAGATGTCACGTAGAAAATAGATTTAGTGTAGAAAAACATGTTCTCAAATGCAAGTAAATGTTGTTCAATGTGGTAGTACAAAA